CATTTCTGCGTGCTTTCTTTCCTAACGAACCAGATTTCTCATTTCCAGGAAAGAGAAAGAAAATATACATTAGTGTGGCAAGAAACGATTTCAGAAGTAGAAGGATTTTTACTTGCTTTAAAGGAATATTGCCAGTGTTATGACTAGTTTTTGTCGCATTTAATGTCACCTAATTAAATGTTGTGTATATATACATATATATTATGTATATATACTATATTTATATTTATCCATTTTTCATAAATTTCGAAGAGAACTGTGAAAAAAGAAGGAAAAAACACGGATATATATACTAGGGTTTTCCAGCAACATGTTGCTAAACATGATATTACAACAAGATTTATTAGTTTCTTTTGGTAATAAATAAATATATTTTTTTTTTAATTTCCTTGCATGTTAACAACAAAAACAAACATATAATAAACAAAAAAAAAAAATGGTAATAACTTTATTAAACATTTAGTTTAAAGATTGTTTCTCACAACTTTCATTCACTTTCTGTACATTTTTGTTTTATTAATTTTTTTTTCTTTTTGCTTTGAGGTTTTCTGTTGCGTACGTTCAAATATGTCCGAAAATATTCCCACAATGGATTGAATTTAAGCAATTACATACAAATATACAAAGACTTTTACAAAATTCTTGTCACCCATATCAAATTTGATTTGTTGAATGCGTGAGCGTGCGTGTGTGAGTGGGTTGATTTTTTCAAAAGTACAACAAATCACAATAATAATAAGCTTGACCTTGTAATAACAGCCTTAACTTTATATTTAACGTTTCTTGCATACAAAATGAATTTAAATATTAAGAGAGAGGAAAAAAATAAAAAAAAAAAATAAAAGATAAATAAAAAAGACGAATATGCTATCATTGTTATTATTATTGCTGTCGTTGTTATTGTTGCTTTTCTTGTTGTTGTTGTTATTGTTGTTGTTATTGTTTTTAAAATTGTTGTATTTTAAAACTTCTTTAACGCCACTTTAACAACAAAATGCATAAACTTAAAAAACAAAAAAAAAAAAAAAAAAAAAAGAAAAAACCCAAAATTTAACATTTTTTTAAAAAAAAACCCACTTCAATAAAAAAAAAAAAAAAAAAAAAACATACCAACAACAAGTTTTTTTCTTCTTTTTGTAAAGTTGCCTGTGTTCTTTTCTTTTTCAACACATCAACTACAACGACGACTACGCTGAAATGTAAGCAGAAAAAAGATGATTGTTAAGATTTTTATCATTACTTGTGGTATAAACAAAATTCAAAAACTTTAGTCTTCACACTGCATATATTTTAGAGAAAACGCCACTTTACTTACTACACATTGTAGTAGTAGTAGGTATGAAATGTTGCAGGTTGTATAAGACTCTTCTTCATTACTTTCCTTTATATTTGCTTGAGTTTAGATAGGTATAAATGAATGTACATAGGTATGAATGTATGTATGTATGTATGTATGTGTATAAGTAAGTGTTTGCATGTATATGCATGAGTAATGTGGCAAATATACGAAATTACTTCTTTTTTTTTTTTTTCCTTTAATATCGAATGCAGGTGTGCGTGCGTGTGTGCATGTATGAGAAGAACACTTTTCATAGGGATTTTTATCAATTTCGAAAGATCTTTCTTTTTTTTTTTCTCTCTTACGTTTTTGTTTCTTATATAAAAAATCACAGAGATTTCGAAGTAAAACATTAAGAAGAGTTTTGTTAAAACCAACAATCAACAACAAAAGCAACAATAAGACAAACAATAAAGTGTAGAGAAGCAATTGACAGTTTGGTGTAAATGTCAAGTTGGCAAAGAGCTAATACTTAAAAAATGTGCGGGTTCGTTTTATTAATGAGGAAGAAGAAGAAGAACAAGAAGAAGAAAAAGCAAAAGAGGTAGACGAAACGTTAATGTTTGACGAACGACGATAATAGTTGGTGACAATCATGATGATAATGATTATATTGTATGATGATTTAAGTAAGACGACAACTTTTGTTGTATATAAGTGTTAATGATATAAATCTTCCCCTTTATGTATATAATTTTTGAAAAAGATTTGAAAAAAGTTTCCGCTTCTTCTTCTATTTTTCATACGATTAGAGAGTTGACGCATATTAAATAATTTACTAAAAGGTTAATAACCCACACATAATAATGTTTATTTCATGTTGTTGCAAAAAAAAAAAAAATAAAATAAAATAACAACAACAACAACAACTATAAAATAAGATGAAGAAGAAGAACAAAATAAACGTCATGTAAACTAAACCACCTGCACATTTGTTGTTGTTGCTCTTGTTGGAGCGCTGTAAGCTTTCATTTTCTCAACCATACAAAGAATGGCCTCATCAAAAAACGGAAAGACTGCTGAGAAAACCAAACTTTACAACCGATATAAGAGTACATATATATATATGCGATTACATGCCTTATACATAAATGGCTATATACACACATGTACATATACATATATACATATATATATATATATATATAAATGAATAACAACAAAAACTAAACCTGAACCGAACACATTTCATTGCTATTGTCTTATTTAAAAACCTTTCTCAATCGTTCCAGCATGAGTAACAATATAACAACAACAATAACAACAACAACGGCAAAAATGCAAAACAACAGTAAAAAATTGTCCTCCTGATACATACACCAGATTAGCAAAGACTTTAGCATTCACATGCACATGACGTTTAAGTCAAAAAAAAAAAATTTAAACTGAACTGCATTGCCTAGGAAAAGCACTCACTGCTGGTAGTAGATATATATATATATATATATATAGATATACCATACACACATATATAAATATATTTATATCACACATATGTGCATTTATGCATGTATGCGTGTTTTAGCTTTTAGTCGGTGGAAGGTTGTTGCAGCAGCAAGTTGTTTATTGTTCAAGTTTTGTGGGTTAAAGTCGCGTTTAATGTTTGGGATTTTTCCTTCTCTTCACATTATTATTCTTGTTGTTGTTTGTTGCTCCGGTATTATTGTTGTTTTGTATTTTATTCCACAGATATTTGTCATTTTGTTAAGGTTTTAGTCTTGAAATACCGCAGCTAATGGTTTGCGTTGCCGTTTCTGTTGCTGTTGTTGTTGTTGTTGTGCACTAAATGTATATGATATTCTTTAAAAGATACTCTAGAAGCAGTTAAACTATAAAGTTGTTATGCTAATTTTTCTTTGGCACATAGAGATAGAGAGCATAACATACACATACACATGCATACACCCCAGGAGTTGTGGGTATTATTGGGAAATTAGTAAAAAGAAAAATAGTGATGTGTGCTGTTAGATAGTGTGGCATGAAAAAAATAAAAAAAATAATATAAAATAAATATATATTTTGTGAAGCAAGGAAAAAAAAGAAAGAAAAGTAAAATAGATTTCATTTGCACAGTTGACAGGAAACAGGAAATGTAGTGTAATGAACGCAAGCGACAAAGAAAAAAATTTAAAAAAAAATAAAAAAATAAAAAGAAAGAAAAGCAAATTGGTTTAAGAATGAATTAATTTAATAAAGCTATGTGCATACATATGTAATATGTATATATCGTGCCGCTAAAGAGGAAACTAAATCAGATATGAATTTACCTCTTGTTTGTTTATGTTCTTCGATGATTTCTTAATCAAAAATCAATTAATAATACTTCTTGTAATACTGTTTGTCGATAAAATTTCTCATAGTTGCAGTTCTAGGCAGATCAGACATTAATTTGCTGGACATTATATATACTACAGAACGAGAGAGAGAGAGAGAGAGAGAGGAAGAGAGAGAGAGAGAGAGAGAGAGAGAGAAAGTGAGAGAGAGAGACAAGTTTGACACGTGGTGATATAATGCCATAGATAACATCTTGCAAAATAGGCAAAGAAACTGTTTTATGTCATTGAGGACAAATAGTAGTTCCTTTCTTTTTTTTTTTTTTTTTGCTTTCTTTAATAAACCAGCTTTAGAAACAGAAGAAAGTAGTCGACAACCGATGCATGGTGATGCGCATTAAAATGATTTATCAAGCTTTAAGCAGCACATCGAGAAACGGCGAGTTACGTTGGCTCTGATATTAACTCAAGAGAAAAAAAGGAAAAAAACAAGCGAGAAAAAAGCACTAATAATGCTTATCACTTAAAAGATAACTAGTTCCGTTTTCTACTTTTTCCAGTAAAGTCACATTATTGCAGATCACACATAGATAGATGGTAACAACTAATGCGTGATCATCAAAGTTCTTCTGTGAAATGTTTCTTAAGTTACTTCAACTCGCAAGCAGTATACAAACCAACAAACGTTCTCTTGGGTCTTAGGCTAAAAACTTAATCGTTATCTAAATAAAAGAATCATTAATATTGTATATGTCACTCAAGAGAAAGTGCCCGTCTGCGATCCTCATTTCCTAAGACGCATCACTTTATCGGATGATGCCTAAGCCATACCTATTCTTATTACTAACAAGCCAGGGAATGGTAGAATAAAAAGTTATCTTTATAGGTAGAATTCCTAATTGATTACAATTAAATGTTGACTGACAATATCAAGCTGCTGGTTACCATAAAGGGTTCACTAAATCGTTATCTCTACCCCAATTCCCAATTCTTTCTAACATTCGTAGAATCATTTTTCTTCCATTAAGCTCAATGCATGGAATTGAAAAAATTGCAATTAATGTTTTTTTTACTTGCAATGATTTGTGTTAATATTTTATAACATGAGTAAAAAAAAGAAAATAATGATGCATTGGTTAATAGAAATTGTAAAAATAATAGTTAAGATATACACAAAAAAAAAACTAATTTAATAGAAAAACTGTTTATATAAACTAAACACATAACAACTGCTGCTGCTTTTTTTTTTCTCGTCATTTTATTACTAATTAGTACATAATGAAATATACATGATTTACATATTAAAACGTAAATCGCAAATTTTTCAAATGCAATTTTTTTTTTTTTTAAATGAATTTTTCTTTGCTTTCAATTTCGTTCATTTATAGTATGACGATGGCCTGCATGGCTATGGTATGGATTCGGGTGCTGCAGCAGCTGCCATGTATGATCCACATGTTGGTCATCGGCCGCCTGGATTACAAGGCCTACCTACACATCATTCACCACACATGACACATGCTGCTGCAGCGGCGGCCACAGTTGGCATGCATGGCTATCATACTGCTGGTGCTGGTGGCCATGGTACACCTAGTCATGTATCACCGGTTGCTAATCATTTAATGGGTGGAATGCCCGAAGTACATAAACGTGATAAGGATGCTATATATGAGTAAGTGTAATAAACTAATAATATATATATATATATATATCTATACACGCACACTTGAACAAAAAAAAACTTGATACTTTTTGTCGAAATAAAAAGACAAAAACAATAACACAATGCTGTGATAAGGAGCTGTTTCTTTTCCTTTATTAAACATAATGTTACGCTCGTGTACGTTGCGGTTGAGTAAAACTTCCTTTTCCTTTCTTCCTTTTTTGCACCTTCTAATTGGCTTTATATTTTTTTTTTGTTTAGTAGGCGTTTTATATATTAAACGTTAAATTAAAGGTTTCGAAAAGAATCAAGAAAGTTTTTTTTAGAAATTTATTAGGGGTTAGAGTTTTTTTTGGGGATTTTTCAATTTTGTGTTTATCGAATGTATTTTATTATATTTAGAAAAGGGTGAGGTGCTAATTTGTTGTGTTTCGAATATTAATTGAAAGGAAATAAAAAGCGCATAACAAGCCATCAATCATTTTTAATATCAATCAACATTTGATTGGTTGTTATTCATCATGATTATCATCACTGTCGGAAAGAAAAATACTAAGAACACATATAAAAAAAAACTGAAGACTGCATATTTTTTAAATGCTACATATATACATATATACATATATACAAACCTATACCTATACAAAGTTTGTGTTAAACGTATTTACAAAGTGTTAAGTATTTGTCAATTTTCTTTTTGACATTATATTTGACATGTTCTTGAAGTCATCTTATCCATCGCGTAGGAAGTCTCGGAAATTTCTGCCGCACAGACGAGTAGATAAGAGTTGGCGCTACTTTGTCGATGTTGTTCATACCTCGGCTGCAATGACCGCTCAGTCAAGACCGATTGAGGTCAACTTGATTACATTTACCGTATGTTCTTCTCTCTTCGCCTATAACTTTCTAACCATCAACGTGCTCCACATAGAAGATCTGTTCCTTGGCGTATAAAACTGATACGAATTTCTCTTTTTTCTCCATCTTTTCTCTTTCTAACTGTATAATGTTGGAGTTTTTCTTATTCTCTGCTTTGATATTATTTGCTAGCAAATGAAAGTAACATTTACGATATTTGGCCGCTTTATCGTATTTGTAATGAGTACTTTTCGAATAGAGCTGTGAACAAAACACGTCGTAGACAAGCAATATCTTAACAAGCTGTTCCATTAAAGCATCATAAACTATAAGGCGAATTATTCATATATCACACATCGCACGATAAGTGTTCTAGAGACATAAAGGTAGTTGGTCGACTAAACAAATCAATCCCTAGTTTAGTAGAGAAATAAAATAGGTTTACCCACTGATCAATCAAAGCAAGTGTTTTAACGAATCTATCTTAATGTTCTCTCACCTGTTCTTCTTAAAATTATCTGCATACTGCACGATACACTGCCGCTATTGGTCGTTCATTAACCGCGCCTACCAGTCACACTTTTCTGATATTCCTAGTCTTAACTCGAACACACCCAAGCATTACTTTCTCTTTCCTTTACCTCCCCTATACACTTTCTTGAACCTTAGCGTGTCTGCACATAAAGCAAACATGCTCTGTGTAGATGCGCTTCTAAAAATTGCCGAAAGACGTAGTATTGGCCTCTATAACGCACACATGCATTCGATCACGCCCACATTTTTTAAATTTAGTTATCTATTTAGTAACTTTACAGGAAGCACTACTACCTAAGCAACTTTTATTTTCAGATTGTAGCTAATTCGAGACGAATTCAAACAACATTATTGGTTATAAAAAGTTTCTATCTAAATTTTCAAGATCGCAATCCTAATTTCAATAGGCTGACAGATAAACGTCTGTCCTGACCAGGGTCCTTAATTTAGAATTCAACGGATACCAAGGTTGGTTCAGTTCGACTTTAGATCAACCATTTCTATGACTATTTATATGGTCAGTAGATCTTAATAGTTTTACTAAACGCGCCAACTTCCTTCCTGTGCATTTTACTCGGTTTCCTTGCAAAGACAGTTGTTCTAGCGGCCGTATGATGATCATGTGTATATTTGAACTTCAGTTGTTGTTCGCAAATTTCAAAGTTCATTGTTGTCCAATAATGGACAACGGACGGATAGATAGACGTGCGAATTTCAAGCACTTGCTAACCAAATATATTCAAAGAGCCTTTGGGGAACAGAGTTGTCTGTCCTTTTACTTTTTCTCAGAACAATGTTTTTAATACTCTTTCACTACTGCAACATGTTGCTGCAACCGACTGTCTTCGTCTTGCAAATTTTTGGTTTGCTTGGGATAAAAAATACATTTTTTTTTTTGAAAAAATTAAGGCATTGTATCTAATAACATTGTTTTAATAAATTGTATCTTAAAAAATCATAGCTTTTATTATATTTTATTTTAGACCATTTGTCGATTTCCGCTAATTAGTGACACATGTTCTTTTATGAACGTACGAACATGTAAAGTAATACAATTTTTATGAGGCTTATGTTAGATTGTATTAATAATTTTCTTGTTGCATGCATGGCAACTGCATTTTATTAAATGATTTTCATTTTTATTGTCATAATCATAAAATTTAATTATTACGGAAGAATCCAATTGCAATAAAATGAAATGTGTGTAGTTGTTGTCAGTCGAATGACTGATAGAGAATGTATTTTTTTTTTTTTTTGAGTTGTTGAAAGCGTGGTATGTATATACGCGACAAGAGATAACAGCATAATAATAACAGCAAATGGCTCGGTCGAGCAATGTTTATGCACTGCAATAAGTGTTTAATTCTTTTTAGTTTTATTGAAAACTTAACACCTTATGCGCTAAAGTATTTGCCAGCCTGTTTGTTTGTCTGTTTGTCTGTCTGTCTGTCTGTTGTATTTTTATTATTTACCTTTACTAGACAAGGTATATGGTTTTTTTTGTTTTTTTTTTCTTGTTTTTTGAACAGTGCATTGCCATTGCATTCATCGGTAAAGTAAAAATATATGCGACTATTGTATGTATAGGGTTTGTTTGTGTGCTTTTTATAGGATAGGGATTATTACGCTTTTGCCACTTGAATTTGAGACATCATAAAACAACATAATAAACATCACACTTGTTGTGTTTTTATATGTATTGTTGTTGCGCAGTTGTTTTTCAAAATGCTCTGAAAGTGTGCACATGTATTTATTTTATTTTGTATAGAAACTGTAAACGGCAGATCTATAAAAATTTTTTTTTGTTTTTTTTTTAGGTCCTTTAAGTTAGGTTATGTCATATATTATAATATGTATAGCACACGTCTCTAACACTTTTCATTCTTTCACTTAGACTTAGTCATGCAGCTTGCTTAGCCATGCATGCATAAATAAATAAATTGAGAATTGAAACTCGCTCAAAAATTACCTAAAGAACCACCCGTTAAATTTAGCAAGACATTATTATTTTTTTTTGTTGTTGCTATCTTTTTTTTTTGGCCAAACAACCATTAAAGCCTTTTGCCTGCCTGCCAACTGATCAGGAAAACTATATTAAAAGACCAACACATATACGTTCGTGTAGGTAGAGCTGTGAGTGAATTCGTCTACCACAAAATCATTTGAAAACTTCTAATTGAAAAATTATAGGGTTTTCGCTATTGAAATGGTTGACTGCTTTGTACAGACATGCACTACTTTCATATATATACACGGACGCACGCACGCGCACACATACGTCTTTTAAGGGTGTAAAGTGCTCGAACAAAAGCCAAAAAAAAAAAAAAAAGAAATGAAAATAAAAAAATAAAAAATACAATATAAAAACCCTAAGTTCAGGTGCAATTTGTTAAGGTTTTAATCCAAAAAAACAAAACACAACACAAAACCGGAAAGTGAGCATTTATTGTTAATACAAATGGTCAGTCTGCCCTTTTTTTTTTTTTCTGCGTTCTTTCCAAATGTTCTGCTCTCTATTTTACTACAAAGCAAAAGAAAAAGAAAAAAAAAATGGGCAGATGTTTCTCAACATATGTAAGACTCTCTGCATTATATACGCATTCTCATGTATTTGCATATATGCTAAGAAAGAGATAGCTATAGAATACCATAAATTAAACATCATTTATCACGTATACATAGAGATGTTTGTATGTTTGTAGAAAAGCAGAAGGCATCATGCCATGCTTTCCTTCTTCTTTTTTTTTTTGCCTGTCATTTAAAAAAAAAAAAAAAAACCTTAAAAATTATTCCATTGAATTCATAGTAAAAAGAAATGTTTACACAAGTGTGTGCGTGTGTGTGTGTCCGTCTGTCGGACGAGAGAAAAACTATAAAAAATCAATTTGTCATTTTGTCTTACGCTTCTTACAAACACTGATTATCACGGCATAGAATTATAAATCTAAGGTAAATAAATTTATACTTACATATACATATGTACATATATATGTGTATGTTTGCATAAATAGTTGTAAGCATCTAAAGGAAAATCATTTCTGACATAAATTGGTCAAAAACCTATCAACATATGTGTCTAAACTGTCAGCAATGACATTGCGAATGTTTACATAAATAACTGCGTATACCTCTCGTCTGTACAATATATATATATATATATATATGTATATATATTCTCTTCTGCTCTTTCTTTTCCTCTTTCTTTCTGCTCGTCTCTCTCTCTATTTTGATCATTAGTTTAATGTCGCTTTCAGTTCAGTTCAGTTCAGTTTTTCGTATTGTTTTTGCTGTCAAAAAATTTGACAGTTAAATTATTTTGATATATATATTCTATCGTTAATATACGTAATATATGTAAAATAAATTTTTTTTATTTTTCTCTTAAGGCAGACATTCTTAAATGTCGCAAATTTTTAAGATTTCATCTTAAAGTCACACTCGAATATCTAACGATAGCTTAATAATCGTTTTATTTTATAAATTTTGTAGATCTGAGTTTATGTGTAATTAAATGTTTTCGTCGTAAGCAATAGACTTTTAGCTGATGTATGATTTTGTGGAAAAAGTTCTGAATCTCTGCATTGCAATTGCATCGCGAGCCAAATGTCATTGTGCCTGCCATGCGAAGAGGAGGACGCTGTATGCGTATGCGTATGTGTATATGTGTCTTTTTGAAATTTATTACAAGTTGTTATATTTAAAATATGTTTTATGCTCATTTGCTGCTCTTCATCGTCTTCCCTATGTGTCTCTCTCTCGTTCACTGTCACTACGTGACACTTTTTCTAATAAGCGAAAAGATTTAAATTAATTGTTTACTCAATTTTTTTTTTTTTAATTTTTTTTATTTTCATTTTATATGATATTTTTGATTTATTTGAAATTTAGTAGACAGGGAACATGTATTTTTTATTGCACTTAAAATTGTCTTAAGTGCAGTAGTCTTAGATGCGAAACAAAATGGGTAAAAAGAAGACTTTATTGAATCAGCTTAAGCAATAAGTGTGCGCGATAAGTTTCTCAAGTGGATGCAAGCTCTACGAAACTTCATTCAATTTACAAACTATATATATATATATTGTATCGAAAGAAAGTATTGTCAACTCGGTATGTCCATACGTACGGTAAATTTAGACAATTATCATGAATTTAGTTTAAACAGATTAAGATTATGAAGAGAATCTATTGAGGAGTTCTTCCTTTTCTTAGTAACGAGTGAAAAATAGTTTATCCAGTGTCGCGTTTACTGCACTTAAGCTTACCTCAAATATCTATGTACTATATTTCGTAACCGGCTACAGACAGATGAGTTGTTGATACTATTTTTGAAGAAGTACAAAACACTATTTTCTGGGCCTATCCTTGGCCTACATAAACGATCAGATGATCGAACAAGTTAATTTTATCATTTCATCTCGAAGGTCCGCCATTTCCTTACAGCTTGCGTGACGACCTTGCTCCACCAGTTGCAAAATTTCATCAATTTTTTCAATGACTGCGAGGTGCATCTTTGACATCGAAATTTATGGAACGAAATTGAGTAAACCATTCCTTCGTTCATTCTCAGCATTCCCATCATGCACGTTACAAATTTGTTTTTTGCAGAGGTTTTGCCTTTTTTATAGACCAAAAGTATCACAGAGCGTATTTCGCTCAGGTGAGTGTAAAGGATTTTCAATATGAGCTAATAGAAACTGGCCACCTTCTCTTTTGTAATTTATTCTTATGAATAAAGTTTAAAATAACTTTGCAACATCTCCCGTCGAGAATTGTAAAATAGTTTCGCTGACATTGTCAAGGTAATGACAATTTCATTCTATTTGGTAGTGGAGAACACAACTCGTAGCACAAAAACGCCTAGTAAAGCAAATTCTTATAGAGATGACTGAAGAAAGGCGATAATAAAAAACGGCATAAGAATGTTTGTCCGTTTAGGCGAAGAATTAAATTTTATTATCCCTTTCCAAACTATATTTCAGAATGGTACCCGCAATTACTGCCAGCTATATCACTCTCCTGATATTTGCGGCGGCGCGGGCAATTTTTAGCCGCCCACATGCTCGCTCTATATCTGCAGAACTCTGACTGCAAAGTTATATAATATTATTATTATTATTATTATTATTATTATTATTATTATAAATTTAGCCAGAGAATAAATTCGAAGACTAAAGTCTTAAAGCACTAGCATCTAAGGCTTTCGGCTTTTATTAAAAACTCTACCGCACTTGAGGTTTGAACCCACGACCATTGAGATGCTAGTCGAGACTCTTGCTTACTCGGCCACTCAGGCGGATGTATATATAATATATTAAGTCGATATTCCGAGAAGTTTGCATAGACTCCGTCTCATCTGATCTCACCGGTAACAGGAAATTTGGGAAGGGATAGAGGCGTAACAGAGAAATCTAGTTGAAGCGTCCTCTCGTCACAAAACATTACGCTGCCATTTCTTTTCGATTATTGGTGTAAGATTTCCCTTATAAAAGTTTTTGGTAGAAGTGTTCGCTCCCAGTATATTGAGAAGGCTAACTTTCCAAAACAAAGATTTTAATAAAAATATATATTAAATCCGTTTAACTTATCTTTGGATTAATTCCGAAGTTCAGCTCGTGTGCAATTTTTGCCTTGCCTTGACGATTTGTCCTTGTAAGCGGATATTGTTAAAGTGATGATGAAGAAATGCTGGATCGCGATAACATCTATTACTTCGCAAGCACTTTTAGCTAAGTTTAGAAACACAAGCAGAACACATTGGACTTGCGAGAGCCATAAAGCAGATCAAATAAAGTGCTTTAGATATTTGTTCAGAAGTATAAAAAATTTTTTATTGATCTTTTTCGTTAGCTAGCAACATGTTGCTGAGCATCAGATTCACATATTCTGCCTTTTCACTGAAACAAGTGCGCTTTATAGAGTTCTCAGTACATCTTGCAACATATAGATTGAATGCATATTACATAAATCCATACATGTATAAATATATATATATATATATATATATATATATATATATGCTTACGTACAGAGATTTTAGTGCTAAAGTCATCTAAATTTACTTTTCTCTTTATTTATTCATCTTATTTATTTATTTTTTTTTTGATATTTTCCTTTATTCACAGAAAGGTGTTATTTTTAGTTTTAATTCAGTTTGTATTTTATTTATTTACTTGTCTTTTATTTTGATCTCATTATATATGAAAAGAGTATTTTTATTGTAACGTACAACTGAATGACTGTATATTTATATATATATATATATATATATATATATATGTATACATGTGTATGTGTCATTTGGTGCGTTTATCTAAAATTGGCATTTTCCACATATGCATGTTGATGTGAATGCATTGCCTAGCAAAGCGATGCGATGCAATGTAATGCATTTCCTTTAACTTATGCTCTAATTAAAATACCAAATGTTAGATCATACTACAACAACAACAACAACAACAACAATTATAGACTATGTAGCAAATAAGTATGCGGTATTTAATGAGTAGATGCTTACAGAGAGATTTATACACACGCAAACATATACACACACACACACACACACACACACACACTCATATATTATATATACGTTCATATAAGTATCTATACGTATAGCCAGGGCCAGCTCAGCTTGTTGGTCCATAGAGGAGAGTAAAAAAGAGATTTTAGGTATTTGAGTGTTTTGATGGCGGTTTCTTGTCGCCATTAGTGTAAACAAAATTTCGAAAATTTCTTCAAGTAATTTAGTTTTTCTTTTAAGCCAAAAAAAAAAAAAAATTACGTTCTATACAAAGTTGTTTAGCGATTTTCGTATAATCACAGCGATATTTATCGATTTTGTTTTGAATTTTTTCCAATTTTTTTTTTTTTGTTGTTTCCTTTTTTTGTGCTAATATTACTATACAATGTTATTCATATTTTATTGCAGACATCCCCTATTCCCGCTGCTGGCGCTTATATTTGAAAAATGTGAATTGGCCACATGTACGCCCAGAGAACCTGGTGTGCAAGGTGGTGATGTTTGTTCGTCAGAATCGTTTAATGAAGATATCGCCATGTTCAGTAAACAGGTAAGTTAAAAGAATTCTACAACAATTACAAAAAAAAAAAAAAAAAAAAAAAATTAATAAATAAATAATGAACAACTAAGAGAGAAATTATAGTTCGAATAATTCTTCCATTGATAATACAAACATTTGCTACGGCTTATGTAAAAAGTTATTGAGAATTTTTATTTCATTTCATTCGTTTTTCCCGTTTTACTGAAAGGATTTTTATAATGAATTATGTTTTGTTTTTTTTTTCTTTCTTCTCATTTTCTCTGTTTGCTCTGGCAGGCAGTCAGTCAATGTCTTTCTGTAATTGGAGATGATTTCTTCATCAGTCATATGTTGTCTTGTGTTGCGCTGTGTGCTGTTTGTTGTATTATATATTTTAGTGTACTGTGTGTATAGTTCGCTTGGGTTTTCTTGTTGTTGGTGGGGGAAACATATGTGGGACATACACGCTTAAAAATTCACAAACTGTTAAATGATCTCAGATTACTTATTGAAATAAACAAGCCTTAACGGCACAACTACTCATACACACGCACAATACAATGTTTTTAAAACCCGTCACCGAAAAAAGCAAAAAAAAAAAATAAATAAATAAATAAAAATAAATAAATAAATCGAAAAAAAATATTTTATTTTATATATATATTTTTTAAGAAGGGGGAAAATTTATTTCGTTTAAAGATCATCTGTCTTTGTCTATGCGTTCAGTTCGGCACACATCAGCTACTCTTGAGTGTGGTATTATTGTTGTTATAATTGTGTTGATTTTGTTGGTGATGCTGCCGCTAGCTGCTGCTACTTCGCAGACATCTTAACTAAGGGTACTTAATTTAATTTGTCGATTTTTTTTTCTTAAAAGTTATATTAATCTCATATAACGATCCTTGTTTTGTTTTCTTTTTAATAAGAAATTTTCGGCTTATGTTTTTTTCCTTAAATTTTTTTTATTATTTTTCAAAATACATCTGTTTTAAATATGTGCTCGTTTAGTAAATTTTCTAATTAAGAACACAATCTGAAAAAATACAAAATTTCCGTTTGTCATTCGAATACAGTTTACAGTAGGGATATTCGTCTCGTTTCGTTTGTATTTGTTTGTAAGTGTCAAGAAAGCAATATGATATTCTCTCTGATGTGAAAGATGAATCATTCTCACTTAGGACGGCCCTTTTACACCGAACATGAAATCTTTCAATATTTCTCCCGAAAAAAAACGAAAATTCGAGTCATTAGAAACCCGCTATACACTGTCATATTAGTAGGGTCTTTAGCATTAAAATCATATTAAAAATCCAAAGTTATCAAGGAAAAAAAAGGTAACAATTTTTTGACAATTTATTCCTTCCACTATGGCAAAAGTCTATGTAGACAAATTTAGCCCTATATATATAATAAGTCCATTGTGAATCTGGCACAGGACGAGTGAAACGTCAAACCATATCCCACATGAATGCGCGGCCATCTGCAGATTCAGGCACCAAGTGCTAGGCGAAGACTTTACCACGTCAGAAACTATATCGTGCTTCGAACCAAAGAAGTTTGTGGGATTCTTAAGAATACCAAAACTAAAGAAGTGGCGATGGCAATAGATTTTTTAGACCACGGTGTGGACTGTCAATAAAAAGATAATAAAAAAAATTATAATAATATCTTCTAAAGATTATGATGCAGTGATTTTCAATTTCTGTTTGTAAGTCTCTTCTTCCATCTTAGTAACGTCCTGTATTGTGCAAAATTTTGTCTGTCGATATTTGAGTGTGTGCACGCTCTACTCCTCTGCCAGATCTTGTAACAAACGGTTGATTAGGTAATGAAGTAACTCAAAATTGTGCAGTCACTCAGAATATGTGTACTTTACTGGATTCCTGTTCCCTGTATTCAATGTCAGGAAGGCCCACACAAAAATTCGTATACTCTTCCTTTTTAAATTGGTATTGTGATATTGAAACTTTTGCTTTGGAAGAACGAACAGTGACTTATCCTATCCACCGAAGTTAGCCAAATCAAGAATTCGACGCCAGCACCTGCGACCTGTCACGTTACGTTCTCTTAAACTCAAGAAAGAAAGTAAATCAAACTTCTTGCAATAAATGATCTCAAAATGATTCCAATCGTCCAATGAATTGCCGCGCTGAAAAAGACTTTGATCTTTTAAATATTGTAAAATCCATAGAAAGTCAAAACTTCTGCATTACCATTCAAACTAATGCCTACAATGATATTTATAATTAGGGTATGTCGCTTCTTTTATTAGGCTCAATACTTTTTTGATCTTCTATTATAACATATATGGTTATATGTATGTAGGTATGGCAAGTATGTATGTAAAATTGCTAATATCACAAACAGACTTACTGTCTGTTTTCATTTTTATGAACTACAACTACTACTGTTCTTATATTATTGCTGCTGTCGATGAAGACAATAATGATGATGAAGCTGATGACGATGATGCTGCTGTTATTGTCTCAGTGATCATCATATTGTTGACTTGCATGTTTGCAACTATTTTTATGTGCATTAAAAAAAAAAAAAAAAAAAAAAAAAAAAAAGTAAGAAATTAAGTGAATCTCATGATTTTTACATACTTATGAGATGCTTGTGGTTGATGTTGCTGTTGATGCTTGAGTATATTGGCAACGGCAACGGTTGTTGCGTTTGCATTTGTTTTATGGATGGAGGAAGTTTAAGGCGCGCGCGAAATCACATTAAAAACACCATCAATGCAGGCACCTCATCAACTCGAATTGCAAAGGCAAAAAAAAAAAAGACCAACCAAAACAACTACCACATGAACACACATATATGACTTGAGGAAAATACTTACATATAAATATAAGCATATAAGCACATGAAGCAGTGTTTGTTTTTTAAACATTTAACACAGTTGAGAACAGAGCAGCATTCACCGAATTCTCAACCCAACAGATACATATTTTAAATGAAAATATTTTTGTATAATTTTTTTTTTTTCGAAATTTCTTGGCAATGAATCTCTAAAAGGAAGTCTTCAATAAAAAAAAAAATAAAGAAAGACAACATATATACAACAACATATACACACATCACCGACACTTGGGCAGAAAGACATATAGACAGACAGAAAAAATCATAAAAATGATGTTTTTATTTATGGTTCATTTGGAATTTTGACAGCTTTGCCAAGAGACCAAAATTCATGACAAGCCAGTGCGCAATCACTCAGTTAATTTCTCTTAGCAACTCGCGTTCTGATTACTTTAGAGAATTGAACGCACAGAGAAACGCGGAAAGCAAAAAACAAATTAAGCCAATTTCCAATCAAGATATAAGAACTATAATAATTTTTCAAGAATTTGATGAACTTTTGTCAAATTGGACACATTTACAGGTTTACACTTTCTTTGCTTTTTTTTTTTTTTTTTTTTTTTTTTT